CTTTACTCCTTTCTAAGCTCTGTATTTAAAATTATATTTATTATATCCCATCTGTTTTTTTTTTTTTTTAGAGATTTTATTTATTTATTTGACAGAGACACAGCGAGAGAGGGAACACAGGGAGTGGGAGAGGGAGAAGCAGGCTTCCCATGGAGTGGGGAGCCCGATGTGGGGCTCGATCCCAGGTCCCTGGGATCATGACCTGAGCCAAAGGCAGATGCTTAACGACTGAGCCACCCAGGCGCCCCATCTGGAATTTCCAGATGTTTATATCAGGTTATACAACCCACAATATTTGCATTTATTCCTTTTTGCCCTATTTTTAAAGACAGATTATTTAAGTATATATGTTTATGTCTAAATTGCACTTTTAATGTGTTTAAATAATCATGTATAAATTGCACAATACTCGGGGTTAAAAGGAGCTTGATGATTACGTCAAATCAGGAATTTTGTTTATAGCTGTCAGGGAACGAAGCCTGCCTTAGGATTTGCGTAAGTGTACTGCCTCATCTTTATACACACACCTTTATACACATTTCCAGGAACACATTATATACAAATTAGGGGAGAGCCTAATATGAAGACAGAAGGAACCCGAGCAAGGGTCTGTGAGAAACGGGGGAGACATCAGTGCCACCTGCAGAGACCAGGGACAGCTGGGTGATGCTGAGCCATGACCCGAGGGGTAAGGAGTGTACCACGTGCACGGGGGAGCTGGGGGGCGGGGCACTGCTGCAGCGGGAACAGCATGTGCAGAGACATGGAACAGCATGGTGCTCAGGGAAGACAGGCAGTTCAGTGTAGGCAGAAGATGAAAACAGGGAGGAGCCACCTCATGAGGGTCAGCTATGCAGGCCTAAAATTGGGATTTTCAGCAGTAGGTGATGGGAGTCATTGAAGGACTCTAAGCCAGGGAGTGAGAGCGCTCAGATTTCCCAGTAAGGAAGGTCACCCTGGGTCAGTATGAGGGATGGCAGGATGGGCTGGGAGTTACACCCTTGAGGTCCAGGAGGACTCTGACAAGCCTTCAGTGATGTGGAGTAAGACAGAGAAAAGGAGAGAGAGAAGGTGACAGGAACCTCAGAGGAGGAGGGGTATCTTCCCGAGAATGGAGATGAAAGAGAGTAATATTTAAAGGGGCCAGCACAACCCTCACAGGTCTTGATGCTGTTGAAATGGTTATGGCACAGTTGACCCCTCCTGTCTTAAGTCTGCCCGGGAGCAGGACAAAGATACATAGCACCGCTACAGAACAACGGAAAGTCGGAAGGGATGGGGGCCATCTTTGGAAGCATCAGGAATAGAACAAAGTTGTAGAAAGATGAAGGTAAAGAAAGATGTCAGGAGGAGGCGGGCAGCAGACAGGTACCTTTCTATGGGCAGCAGAGGGTGGCTGATGAGCATGATGAACCTCAAATGTTCTCACTTAAGCACATTATTTTGGTGCCAGAACATAGGAGCATCCACGGAGGATTTGGCCTGGCCTCAGACAGGAGATGAGGATTGCCCCGGGGAGTTGGAACCTGTAGTAAGCCAAACATGGTCCCCCCAAAGATGTCCACATCCTAATCCCTAGAACCTGTGAATATGGTGCCTTACATGGGGCACCTGGGTGGCTGGTTAAGCATCTGCCTTTGGCTCAGGTCATGATCCCAGGGGTCCTGGGATCGAGCCCTGCATCCGGCTCCCTGCTCACTGGGGAGTCTGCTTCTCCCTCTGCCCGCCCCCCCTCCTTGTACTCTCTCTCTCTTGCGCATGCACTCTCTGTCTGAAATAAACAAAATCTTAAAAAAAAAAGATGGTACCTCACATGGCAAAAGGGATATTGCAGGTGTGATTAAATTAGGATCTTCAGATGAAATGATTATTCAGGATTATCTGGGTGGGCCCAGGGTTGTGCAAGATTCCGAGAGGGAGGCAGGAGAGTCAAAGTCAGAAAATGATGTGATGATAGAAGCAGAGGTTGGAGTGACTCCCACGGAAGATGAGGGCCACGAACCAAGAGACGCAGGTGGCTGCTACAAGTGGGAAAAGGCGAGGCAACGGATTCTCCTCTGGACTCCAGGAGGAACGCAGCCCTGCTGACACCTAGATTTTAGCTCCCTAAGATTCATTTTGGACTTCTGACTTCTAGAAGTATAAGACAAATCTGTACTGATTTAAGCTACCAAGTTTGTGGTCATCTGTTACAGCAGCAAGAGGACACTAACCAAGAAGGGACCGCAGTGCTTTGGCCTAAGCAGGCTGCTTCAGGGCAGCAGTGGGCCCCCAGCCAAGGCGCTCGCCTGGTTTCCCTAACTGCTGATCAGGTGCCCCCTGTGGAAGTTGATACTGAGCTCCAACCCCCGCCCTCCCAACCCTGTCCTCCCACGTTCTCTGTTTTGAGAGCGCACCCAAGCCAGAGCCTTGGGAGTCGGCCACTGAGTGAACCACTCTGTGGCTGGCGGCTTTGGCATGATACCCGGGGTTCCCGCACGCAGGGCGTGTGGCAGGAGAGCGTGTGGGAACGGCCGAGTGCGGCAGTGGGGTGGAGGCATGGTGAGCTGGGCAGACGCCAGAAGGGTCCCTCGCTGATTGCCCAGGACTGGAGACACGTCCAGTGGGGGAGCGGGGAGGTAGGCAAGAAGCGCATGAGAGAGGTCAGGGCTGCCTGTCATGAGTGACGCCATCATCACAATGGGCCTGGGTGAGACCCACTTCTGCTCTTTCTCCGTGTCCCACTCCCGTGCCCTTGGGGCAATTTTACGCAGATTTTATTTTACATTTTCATTTTCTTAAAAAGACAAAGATCAAAATGTGAAAGAGACGGAACACACGAGAGAAAACATTAACAATCTTTAACTCCGGTTGATGGGAACGTCGGTGTGAGTCCGGCTCAGACGCTACAGGCGGACTTCACTCCCAGACCGGGATAACCACCACCCCAGGCATCGTCAGTCCCTTCCTTGCCCCTGCCCAGCCAAGATGCAAGGAGAGAACATCCAGCACCCGCTGTTTTGATATTCTGCCCTTTTTTTCCCCAGACCTATCTTCACGTACATCACATCAAATTACATAAAGCCAAATCACACAAACCACGATTACATTCTGAAGCCCGGTGATGGGATGCACTACGGTTTTCCCTCCACGGTGTCAAACTCCTCTGGATTCTTCCACTCCTAGCTCTCAGGGACGGTGGCCTCCCTAGGTCTCAGGTGACCAAGCGCAGGGGGAGGGCGTGAGGAAGCTGGCCACACAGCTCGTGAGCAAGAGGGGTTTGGAGGCCTCAGTGCCGAAGCACGGGTCTAAGAATGGAACCAACCAAAGCGCCTTGGTGCTGGTTAGGTTTTATTTTAACAGGATGTTTCCTCTTTGTTTTTCAAAATATCAGTTATATCAATATTAGAAGTGTAAACAGGTACAAAATATACAGTACATAGAAACAATTTTCTTAACTAGTCTATTGCCTAATAAAAGTACGCATGAGGGAGCTGACTGAACAGAGGCCATGGTTTCTTGCTCCTCAGGGGAAACAAGTGACCCATTTGGGGGAAGGGAACCAGTCCAGTGGCTGCTCCAACAAAATGGGATGGATACTCGTGTGGGAGGGACAGCACACTGTGGTAGAATCAAGGAAGCTGGGCCATTTCTAATTCTACCTCTTAAGATGTCAGACGGGGAATGAGCAAGCGCTCAGCCCTCGCCCTGCCTCTCAGACCTGCCACCGGGCGCCCCCCGGGGTGGGGGTGGGGACGGTGAGCACGCACACCAGAGGGGCCGGTGCTCAGCTACATCTTGATGCCTGACGATTTTGCTCCAGCAGATGTGGCACAAATCTTAAGAGGGCAAAGATGAAAACCTTCCCTCCCCCAAAACTGATGCTCCAGGAGGATGAGCTGTGTCTAATCAGAGGCCCCTCCTCGACGGAGGGCACGGCAGCTTGCACTCACCGAGCGAGGCGGCTGGGATGTGTCCCCCTTGAGGAATTTATTTCCTCATCTCTAACAAGAAAGAACACTTGTCCTGCGTGCTTCACAAGGTCACAGTAATCAAATGAGATGCGAAGTGAAAGCATTTTGACAATGAAGAAACACCACACAGAGAGAAAAGGAAAGAGAAGCATTTCGTTGGGAGTGGAAAGTGGCCCCACTCCGGGGTGGGCAGGCCAGGCTTTGTTCCCAGCTCTGCTGGGATGTGACATCGAAGGGTTAAACTTGCCCGCCTCAGCTGCCTCACCTCTGCAGCCCCAACGCTGGGTTTTCAGATGACTCTCTGTTATAAGGCTCTGAGTCACCTAACAGGGTGACACCACCCAAACCCCTTTTGATAGGGGTGACAGATGGCCCATAATAGGCCAGCACGTTTGGAGGCCTTTTAAGATGGAGGAGAGCTGGGAAATGGTACTGGCTGCTGGTGGGCAACTCCTTCTCCCAGCTGACACGAGGTGGGGGGGGGGGGTTTCCACATTGTAGAGCAGGTGGTGATGGGACCAGCTTGCAGCCCTGCTCCGCCCCAGGCTGAGCACAGCTTTGTGGGGGGTGGTCTCAACTCCCCCCAACTCTGTGCCACCACCAGCCCATCCCTAGACATCAGCGGGGCCTGCGTCCCCAGCCGGCCAACTCCGGGCACACTCACTGTCAGACTTGGTAAGGACACAGCCCACACAAACACACGCTCCGGAAACCAAAAGTACACTATAAAGTTTAAACTGATGCTACGGCTATTTTCCAGCTTTTTTCGTCAAGAACTTAAAAAAAAAAAAGTTTTCATAATTAAATTACTTAAAATTCTATGCTGCTCAGTTTCACAATCAGAGAATTCTACTTTGTTTAGGGGTGGAAGCCGGATAGTTTCTCTTTTTCCAGTGATCAGTTCAGCAACTTGGAAATTTGCTTCCCCCAGGCTCCCGTTCCCGCCTCCGCTTTCACCACCACCCAGACGTCTCCGAGTGGGACTTCGGCCATGCGCGGTCTGCGGGGGCGAGGGGGCCAGGCGCCCGGGCCAGCCTCGGGGGGACGGGGGGGGCTCACAGGTCCGCGCCATCGCTGGGTCCCAGGACACTCAGGCCACAAGTCCAGTCGGTCACAAGGTCTGTGGAGGCCAAGGGTCCTTTAGAGGCCGGGCTCTTGAAGGGGTCCGGGGGGCCGGCCGGGAGGGGCGGGAGGGGCTGGCCGCGGGCCGGGCCCTTGGCCCCCGCCGCGTGGTTGCGCTGGTGCTTGCGCAGGTGGTCCTTGCGGATGAAGCTCTTGCCGCAGACGGTGCAGGTGAAGGGCCGCACGCCCGTGTGGGTTCGGTAGTGGTCGATGAGCTTGGAGCGCTCGGTGAAGCGCTTCTCGCACTCGGTGCAGGGGAAGGGCCGCTCGCCCGTGTGCAGCATGCGGTGGCGGATGAGGTGGGCCGGCCGCGTGAAGCAGCGCCCGCACTCCCCGCACCGCAGCGCGCTGCCGTCCCGCGCCCCGCCGCCCGCCGCCGCCGCCGCCGCCGAGCCCCCCGGCGCCCCCTCCGGCAGCCCGCAGCTGCGCTGGTGTGCGCTCAGGCTGACCTGCAGCTGGAAGCTCTTCCCGCACGTGGCGCAGGTGAAGGGCCGCCCTCCCGGAGGGGCTGCGGGGTGCTTCTTCAGGCCTGGCTTGTGGCCGAAGCCTTTTGTCCGGCCGGGGTATTTACAGGGGTCACTGAAGGGTCTCGGGGCCTGGGTGGGGTCCAGCACGGCCTCTCCGTTGTCAGTGGAGGTGTAGGGCACCCCCTCGGGCCCAGTCCTCGGGTTCAGGCCCACAGGGGGTTTACACCTGAAATTCCAGCCCCACCGGACCCCCCCAAAGAGCCAGTCCCCGGGGGGGGTCTCCTCCTGGGCCACGGCCGGGCTGAGCTCACCCATGTCCCGCTCAGGCCGGGCGGGCTCTCTCAGCCCCAGCACGGGGTCCTGGCTGGGGAAGGAGCTGCCCTGGTTCTCCCAGGCTCCTTCCTGGACAGGGCTAGGGAAAAACCTTGTGGCTTGGCCTGGTCCAAACAGGGTCCCATGAGCCTCTAGGTCAGTAGGATGCACCGGAGTGGCCACCACCTCCTCTTCCTGGACTTCTGTTTTTATCACAATTTTTACATCTGCTGAGAAAGACAGAAAGACCCCGTAATCATTCTGTCCCGGCACCTGCTTAGAGAAGGAAGACCTGATACTTTCATCGGGCTATTCAGCTCCCCGACCACCGCTGAGCCCTACTCTCCCCGCCTCAGGATCCGGCTCAGCAGGGCATCCTCCCCGCGGGCCTGGGGCTGCCTCAGCCTGTGGATGAGGCCCTTCACAGGTAAAGCCAACGTATCCGCTCACCACGTTCCGTGTTCACGCTGGCAATCAAGACTAATCATGCGTTTATCCTGAAGCTGACCACTGGTGGCCAAGTAGCCAAAGGGCAGAAGCCCAGTGCTGGGCTCCGATGTATCTACGACTGTACTGTGCTCCGCCCCCCAGGCCAGCGGTGGGCTTCAGGTAGCTCTCTGACCAACAGCTCCTCTATGAATACTCTATTTCATAGGGTTGTATGAGGATTAAACCTGATGACACGTCTGAAAGCACTTAGCGTGCTAATGATAAAAATATTAGTGAAATAGTATAAATGTTTTTGAGTTTATATAAATGCACTTGAATCTCACATCCTGAAGTTTTAGATCAGGGATGCAGGCTTTTAGCACATTTTGGGGGGGCTAAAATATGACAGAAATGATTAAAGTAACAGACAACTGGCCTTCAAAACCGAAGTGAAAAGAAAGCCAATACATAAATTTCGTAGTTGTTCTTCCGATTCTGGCCTTCAGACACCTTTGGTAGTGCTGATACCTAAGAAGCGGTTCTGGTTTGCTTTTGGTTTTTCAGTGCCAGCCCGGAGCCAGGATTGCTGAGCCTGGGCAGGAGGTACATTCTCTCAACGGATCAGCTTACCAGGGTTACTGGTTCAGACCATATGAGAAAGGGACAGCCTGAAACATTGTCAAGAAAGGCTGTCCAAGCGTAAGAATTTGGAAGGAGATAAAGGACAGACTGTACAGAGTCCATACATCACAGACACCTAACGGCCTGTTGGCCGAAAGGTCAGGGCAGTTCACTGGTAAAAGTGAGGACCCTGGGCTGAGGCAGCCTCCCAGGAAGATGTGACCCTTTCCCGTCCTCTGCCACCCCATACCTTCCGTGGAGGCCGCTGTGTTGAGCTTCAGTGTCCCGTCTGAGCATGCTGAAGAAGGATGGTGGGGAGGGAGGTCCGCCTGCCAGGAAGTGGGTGGGAGAGTGGTTGAAAAGTTGGAGTGGACACCTGCAATGAAGAGAGATCAGAGCCCATGGGTTAGGGGAAGGAAGGGCGCGGAAAGCCTGTGCGAAAGGAAGGGCAGGCTAGACCCTAAGACCCCGCCTTTTCTGTGGGAGCAAACAGCCCCGCCTCTCCCGCACCCAGTTCTCTCTTTTGCTCCTTCTCTGAGGCACCAGGAAGCTCAGATGTTATTTATTTCATACAGGCCTCTTGAATGTGAGGCATCTGGCAATTTAAATGCCCAATGGTGGGGGCAGGAACAGGAGTGCAGCTGATGAAGGTCATGCAGAGAGATGCCAAGACAAGAGCATCATCCAACCCACGGTGGGGCCTGCAAAGTATCATTTGGTACAGCCCCCTGCCTTCAGGTGGGGAAACTTCTCCATGAATCAGGAACCCACAGCTCCCACAGTGCTTCCAGAAGCTCCTTCCCTGCACCCTGCCCTTAGTCCCTGCATCTCGTTCCTGGTGTCTGCTCTGGTTGTGGCCACTCACCAGAGGCAGCATCTGTAGAGACGTCTCCTGCTCCGGAGTCCAGCTGGCTGAGGCCCCACGGCTCCTCCCCGATATCTGGCTGTCCGGCTGCCCATGCCTCTACCCCCAGAGCCTGCTGCTCCTGGAGCTGGAGCTCGCCCTCCTGCTTGATCTGCATTAAGAGGTCAGGGGCAGGAACTGGGGGCCCCGAGCCTAAGAAAGGGAAAGGGCATGAACATATAGCATCAGGGCCCCTCGGGCCTGGGGCGGACACACATCCAGCCAAGGACGTGGACACAGGGGCTTACAGGGGTCAAAAAGCAAGAGAACCTGGTGGGAATGGAAGGCCAGAGCAGCGGGGACGGCAGCGCCTTCTGGGCAAAGCATGAGGTCACATGGTATCGAGCACAGGGTAGGATGGGAAGGCATTCTCAGGGCGGGACCTCTGGCCCACGCAGAAGACTGAGCTGCTCTGGGCAAGTCCTGCCCTCACTTTTAACACAGAAATGCTATATAAAAAGTCACTCCAAATATCCCCCAAAACCTTACTCCCCTACCTGTATATAAGTGAGCATAAAAGAAAGATTCCAGATACAAGAATCAAACAGCAAATGCAAAGTCAATCAAGAGTTCAAACAGGAGCCAAGCAACCCAGCGAGTTGCTGGAACAGGACACAGGCCTTAGGGACTGGGCTTTGATGCCCAAGCGAGGCTAAGAGCCCTGCTGAGCTGTCTGAACCATGAGGCTCCGTCCTAGTGAGCTGGGGACTAGAAAAATTCCACCTACCTGAGGGCACTACCAGGAAGCTGCCACCTGTCTAGGGCCATGGGTGGGACAGCCACCCTAAGAAAGTGGAACGTCCACACTGAATTCATACCACCCACACGGTGCAGAGACCAGAAGCTGAGAAATCCACAGAAACATTTGCTAACCCCCCCTCCCCCGCCGCAACCCATGAGGCCTCCCAGCACAGGCAAATGCAAACCTGCCCCCCAGGGACACCCCCACAACTCAGGTCCCTATGAAAAAACTAAACTTACAACCAGAAGAGGAGCCAAACAACATGAGAGTCGTGGCCGAACTGACTCCCAAGAACTACAGAAAAAAGAACAAGCCAAAGGGTGCGGGGACCTAAGTACCACCCTGGGAGTTGACGCACTGCGGCCTGTGCCCAAGGCTGTCCCCTGCCAGGTCACACCACAGAGTGGCCTGAAAGCCTCCAGGCCGAGACCATGGTGGCCCCGAGAACCAGTAGAGGCGGACAGAGAATCTCAGGAGGACAGCATTTTCCACATAGCTTGCAGGAGTTACTGAGCTCTCCACTACAAATCACCACCTCAACAAGAAAAGTGGCAGCCTCAGGGGATCAGAGGTCATGTACTGCAGGATCTGGCCTGCAGAGACGCTGGATACTGGAATTATCATACGCAGAATACAAAGTTTAATATATTTGGAAAAATAAAAAGGGGGAGAGTCTGATAAATCAGAGCCTGCCCAAACAGACCAGATTTTGAAAAAAGAAGAAAATATAACTTTGGAATTGTAAAATAAAATCACTGAAATTTAAAAATCCAGTTTATAGGCAAAACAACAGAAAGCAAAGAACCGAGCCGAGGATGGTGAGCTAACTAGAAGACAGATAAGAAATGATGAACGGAGCTGAAAATATGAAGAGACGTCCACTGTTATGAAGGACAGTACGAAAACATTCCAGAATAAACAAGTAGGGAGAAGGCAGGCGAGGCAATATTCAGAGAGATAATACTGCAAAATTTCCCAAACTGTTGAAAACTACTGATGATTAAAGCTGGATCAAGAGAAAGAAATCCCTGCCTGGACATGTGGAAAGACTGCAGGCCCCCAGAGTAAGAGGCTGCTTGGTGGAGGACAAGGCAGACCGCCCACAAGGCCACAATGGCTGGACGGTTGGATGGCTTCTCAGCTTCTCCCTCTCAGCAAAGCATCTTCAAGGGGCTAGGAGAAAATAGCATTCACACGAGAATCCATATCCCACAAATACAGGAATGTAATAAGAGTATTTTCAGACACGTAAAAACTCCTATACAAACACAAACTGAGAGTCTGTCACTCACAGACCCACAAAAGACTTCTAAAGGATATATTTGTAAGGAAAAAAACTCCTAAAGTCACCTCTAAAAGAACAGAAACAGAACATATAACTTCCAAACTTACTAAAAAACTAGTTTGAGAGGCGCCTGGGTGGCTCAGTTGGTTGTATCTACCTTCAGCCCAGGTCATGATCCCAGGACTCTGGGATCGAGTCCCGAGTTGGGGGGCGGGGTCCCTGCTTCTCCTCCCTTTGCCCCGACCCCCGCTTGTGTGCTCTAATAAATAAATAAAATCTTAAAAGAAAAAAAAGGAAAAAAATAGTTTGAGGAAGAAAGAATCTAAATGAAGAACTCTCAAAGGAAGGGTACTAAAAAAGAAATATAGAAAAGGTGGTCCAAGGTCTGAACACAATTCAAGACGGTGGGTGAGAATCCAAACATGCTAGTGAACAAGATCAGTGTAAGCAGGTTGGACCAGCATTGTCCATTGGAGAAACTGTGCAGGCCACGTAGCTCATTCTAGGTTTTCTAGTAGTTATATTAAAAAAATAAATAAATAAAAAGAAACAGGTGAAATTAATTTTAATAATATATTTTAATTAACCCAATATATCAAAAATGTCCAAAATTTATGTATTTCATCTTTACATCACTTTTTAAAAAAGTTTTATCTATTTGAGAGTGAGAGACAGAGTGCAGGAAATGGGGGGAGAGAGAGAAGCAGACTCCACACTGAGAGGGAGCCCGACACGGGGCTCAATCCTGGGACCCTGGGATCATGACCTGAGCCAGAGGCAGACGCTTAATCGACTGAGCCACCCAGGTGCCCTTTTACAGTACTTTTTTTTTTTTCAAAGATTTTATTTATTTGACAGAGAGATAGAGAGTGAGCACAAGTAGGCAGAGCAGCAGGCAGAGAGAGAGGGAGAAGCAGGCTCCCTGCTGAGCAGAGAGCCTGATGCGGGGCTCGATCCGAGGACCCTGGGATCATGACCTGAGCCGAAGGCAGACGCTTAACCGACTGAGCCACCCAGGCGCCCCTTTTACAGTACTTTTTAAGTGACCAACAGCCACATGTGCCTAGTGTCCACCGCTTTGGACATTTAAAAGGTAAAGATGATTACACTAAAAACGAACAAGAAACTGGGGTGCCTGGGTGGCTCAGTGGTTAAGCGTCTGCCTTCGGCTCAGGTCATGATCCCAGGGTCCTGGGATGGAGCCCCACGTCAGGCTCCCTGCTCAGCAGGGAGCCTGCTTCTCCCTCTGCCTGCTACTCCCCTGCTTGTGCTCTCTCTTTCTCTCTGGCAAAAAAAAAACAACAAAAAACAACAACATCAACAACAACAAGAAACCTAGCTATATGCTGTTTGCAAAAGACGCAATTAAAACAGAAGGATGCAAGAGCAGTGTAAAAGAATAAAAGCCAGAATAAAGACATTTTTAAAAAAGATATAGTTATACCATATCAGAGGAAATAGATTTTGAAAAGAGAAATATTCATAGAAATAAAAAGGGTCACTGTGCAATGTTACATTGACCAGAAAGAGAAAATAATTCTAAATGTTTAATCTAATACCTTGGCTTCAAAATAATAAAGCAAAACTCCAGGAGAAATAAACAACTCCCAACTTCTCAGCGGGGGGGGGGGGGTTCAACACACCTGTTTCTGTAACTGATAAATCTAGCTGACTCAAGGTTATAGGAAATTCGAGCAACACTATTAACAAACCAGATCAAATGGACGTAGTAGACTCTAAAGATAAGGAAAACACAAGTTTTTCAAGCCACACAGAACAGTAAGGAAAAATGAATACTTTCGAGACCATAAAATGAACTTCGGTAAATTTTTTTTTTAAAGATTTTATTTATTTATTTGACAGAGAGAGACACAGCGAGAGAAGGAACACAAGCAGGGAGAGTGGGAGAGGGAGAAGCAGGCTTCCCGCTGAGCAAGGAGCCCGATGTGGGGCTCGATCCCAGGACCCTGGGATCGTGACCTGAGCCGAAGGCAGACGCTTAACCGACTGAGCCACCCAGGTGCCCCACGTTTATCAAAATGTGTGAGCTGCATCTACAATGGTACTTAGAGGGTATTTTATGACCTCGTATGTTTCTATTACGAAGGAGAAGACAGGTAGAAAATTAAGGGTCAAGTAGTCAGTGCAACTCTACTACTTTAGGGTAGGAAGTCCCCCCTGCTGGACCACAGTGAAGGAGCCTGTCCCCAGCAGAGCAACAGAGACGGCCTGGCCCCTGGGGGTGGCCAGCTGCCCAAGGGGGGGCAGGATGGATGGGTAAGGACTGTGCTTGTCCAGTTCTGCTCCCAAACTCTCTGATGATGAGGTATGTTCCTGGTGGGCCTCCTGGAAGGATGCCCAGGGGTAGAGAGAGAGGGAGGGACGTCACAGAATTGACCCCTTCTGCATGAGAACAGGCACTGGGAAAAAGGAGTTCCCTGCCCCTCCAGTCCCCCAGCAGGTGTCAGCAACAAACAGAAAAAGCATGTTAAAAAAAAAAGGCACCACTGGGGCGCCTGGGTGGCTCTGTCGGTTAAGCTTCCAATTCTTGATTTATGCTCAGGTCTTGATCTCAAGGGTTGTGAGACGGAGCCCTGTGTCAGGCTCTGGGCTGGGAGTGGAGCCTGCTTAAGATTCTCTCTCTCCCTCTGCTCCTCCCCTCCCAGATCTCAAGCTCTCTCTAAAAAAAAAAAAGCACCACTGACAATAGCAATTAAAAAAAAAAAATACAAGGAAAATATCTTTAAAAAAATAAAAAAAATAATAATACAAGGAACCTAGGAATATATCTAACAACAAATTTGGAGAAAATTCTAAAACTTCATTGAGGCACATGAGACAGATGAGCTACATGGAGGAGGCTTAGGACATTCCCCAATAATGTGCCTCAATACAGCACAGGGGTCCATTCTCTCCAACGTGATTGAGAGAGTGAATGCAACTCCAACCACAATCCCAGCTGGATTTTTCACAGAACTTGTTATAAGGTAATTAGGAAGATGACCCCCAGAGCAAAGGAAAAGATGACCCAAAGCGCTAGTGAGAAAGAACCAGGGTCCCAACCTCCCTCTACCACTAAGAACTTGAATGTGAAAGGCAGAACTTTTGAAGCAAACGTGAGATGGT